CACACAAATTAATTAGTTTATGTATGGTACGAAGTATCAAACTGAGGATTGTGTTCCGCGGGGAATAATCAAATTAAAGTACGACTAATGCATAGGATGTAAGAAACTATTACATTTATCTTTTGACTTTATGGGCAAATAAGTCTTTTGGTAAAAGTATGCATAAAAATAGTTCAAGAATATGTAATATATAATAAAATTAAAGTATGACTAATGCATAGGATGTAAGAAACTATTACATATATCTTTTGACTCAAATAAGTCTTTTCGTAAAAGTAAGCATAAAAATAGTTCAAAAATATGTAATACTCCTTCCGTTTTAAATTATAAGTCGCTTTGACTTTTTCGATACATCAATTTTGCTATGTATCTAGATACATAGCAAAATTGATGTATCGAAAAAGTCACTTATAATTTGAAACGGAGGAAGTATATAATCAAATTAAAGTATGAGTAATGCATAGAATGTAAGAAACTATTACATATATCTTTTGACTTTATGGGGCAAATAAGTCTTTTCGGAAAAGTAAGAATATGTAATATATGCAGACAAAATAAAAAAGCAATTTAGCGGAAAACACGCATTTAACCACGGTAGCGTTAGTATCATTGGAATAATAATTACCCTCTAACCACCAAATGATTCCGATTAAATTTGGAATATCATATTCGTGAATAATTATTTTTTAAACATTAATTAACAAATAAAAAAAGGGGAATGGGGGATAATAAAAGCCTATAAATTAATATTTTTAGATCATTATATAAATAAATAATTATGAGATGCGAGTGCGAAAAACAAAACAACTGTGACAATTCAATTTAAATAATTAAATTTAATGATTAGGGAATTCGGTTTGGTAGTTTTTTTTAAAAAAAAATTGTACCTATATTTCAATAATTAACCAATATGGTTCATAAGTGAATATTTCAATTTCCAACAAACAGTAAAGCATTGATATGTAACAGATCCTACTAAAATTTACGAAATTGCAATTTGCATATGTAACATGAAATTTAGGAACATTCTACGGTCTCGTCACGTAATCATTCCATAAGGATTTGTAACCGATAGAGTTGTTTTAACTATTTATGACGATTATATGATGATTTAGTGGTTACAAATGCTGACGAATGGTCTCGTAATGGGACTAGACTGTAGCATTTCCCTCAAATTTATACTTATACGTAAAAATTAACAAAAAAGAAAAAGAAAAAAAATGAATAAGGAACAGAGGACTCACATATGTACCCCTCTTGCAACCTCATCTGGATCGTCCACCGCATCTCTATTCAAACTGCGTGATTAATTCACATTATTTTCAGCAGCATTTATATATTCTCCCAAATCAATGCATAAAAAAAAAAAATAGGCAAAATTGCAATTTTAATCAAAACTTAATATGAACATTTTTGCTATTTGGTCCTGTGAGTTAAAAATTTCAATGCAAAATTTAAAATTCTTACATGACTTAAATTGATAATCAAAACTTCATTCCAGTAATAATAATTTTTTTTTCAATTTCAGTCCCAAAAAGTTTGTAATTGCAGCAAAATATTAAATTACAAGATCAAAAAACAAAAAAATTGAAATCTTGTGACTAAAAACGCTACGACGTTAAATCAGCTGGACTGAAAATACAATTTTGCCAATAATTATATATATAATTGAGCGGTTAAATTAAAAAAAAAAAAAAAAAAA